AAGGCAAAATTCTGACATCTCATACACATCCTTTTCCTAAACAGAATCAATGACCATTTCTGATATGAAGTTTGTGTAATTATTTCTAATAGCATCATACCTCTCAATGTTTGTTACTGGACACCTCCTGTAATGTAGTTTTGAATTTACAAACCTTTGTACTTTGTTCCTGCATTAAAAATACCAATATATACACTCTCACATTTGTAATATTGTGTTTTTGGCAAGTAATATCAGACTACGGTAATTCATTTTGGTTTCTTACGGGTAATCATCTGTTGTATTAATTCATGAACTTTGGTTTCCAACATGGAAAGGTAAGCCCACCAGACTGCAGTTAACCTTCAGTTCATGTTACTACAGCATTTTTCCACTACCTTGGCTTCAGTCCAATGTTACGCACCATTATCTGGAAAATACACTCCTCAGAGGGGCATCCTTTGCATGCTTCACAGTAAAAATTTTTAAACATAACAAAATTTGGTATAACTGGATTACTATTTTTCATAATTCCTCACAGAAAACTGTTACAGACTTCACAGTAATTAAAGTGAGTGTGCAACAGCAGAGAGAGGCTCAAAAGAACAGAATGAATTCAGTTTAGGTGCCAAGCAACTTACAACACAACTTATTCGTGTCCGTAGACATTAAGATTTGTGTAATTTTTACCCAAACACCATAAATTTATGTACTCTCAAAGTAACACTATATAAAGCAAGATAAAATTATGCTTTTGTATGTTTTAATCTATAAGTGTTTTGATAAGGCACAGAAAGGTAGATTCTAAACTGAATAATAACAAGAACTTCCTGAATTTAATCTGCTCTTAATATCATCATGAATATAATTCTGATTTGTTGCTGCCATTCCCAAGCACTTCTTGAACTTTGCAAAAAATAACGTTTTCATCTTCTTCCCTTAATTTTAACATTCTTGTCTTAAAAATAACCTTGCAGGAGTTGTTTATGGTGCAGACATGTTCAGACATTACAATATAGACAATGTTAACAAATTATTACAACAGGCATTACAAATTTATTGTCCAGCCCATCTCATGCTTTTCACAGTTACCCGCGTAATATTATATGAACAGTACATATTACGAAGTTACTCATTTCGTAATTTTTTTCATCTGAGCGTGTCCAAACCCTGTTTTAAAACGTTTCTGTCAGATTCAGTATTTTATTATATTTATTTAGTGTTCGGTCTGACGTCAGGTCCATATGAACAGGATCCTTCTATCCTTTTCTCGGACTGGGACCTGTTCATATACGTTCTTGGCAGATGATCCAGAAGTGGTTTGCCATTGCCTTCTTCTGTGTGTGAATGGAGTAATTGTTGGGATGCCACAAAGAAACCGGGGAAGCCCCCGGAGGAAAACTCCGTGTTGCCTAGACCACGGCCTTGCCCAACACAAGTTATAAATTCGGACAACACCGGGAATCGAACCCGAGACCCCAGGATTACAAGGCCAGCGTTCTAACCGCTAGACCACCGTGGCTCTAAATTTACATTACTGACAATAAAATTAGCATTTTTAATGGCCACAATGTGAAAGAAGAAACAGACCTTCCGTCAACTATAGGAATGCTCTGCACAGTTTTTGCCTTGTTCAATAATTTGTACAATACACAAAAAATTAATTCATGATGACAACACGATACCAAAAGCTCTGCTTTGGGTTCACATGAACAAAAATTCATGCATTGGTATTCATAGTATGAGAAAAATCTATAAAATTTATATGCAACCAGTGATCATGCCAGTTTTTACCTAATTGGTATATATTTTTATATACAAAATAAAATATGATAAAGAGAAAGGTCTTCACAGAATATGGTCCATAAGTCTCACCAACAAAATCTGAATTATAATTTGTCTACATGGGTGATTTTACAGCTTGGATATGAACAAAATTATGTAAATAATAAATTCGACAAGATTCTTATTTCCTTTAGAAGGATGTGAGAAGTTAATTTTAGGTTCAGACTATCATTATTTATTTTACTAAAATTCCTCATAATGCCAAAGCCAGATATTTATGAATTAAATTTCACAAAATTGTCTAAACCAGTATGTACTACATTAAATATTAAAAAAACACATTTAAATCAATTTTTAAAGAGTGTGTAAGATGATGACAGGTGCTGTTTGCTTCATTACAAAACATGTGTAGAAACAATATCATGTTTACCCACAGACTTTTAGTATGGTGTTTTGAGCCCTGTTCTGTCAAGGTGATGACTGTGATGACACTATTTTGAATAAATTCCTGTGAATCCCTTCTCCTTCATGTATTTTTTTTAGAGTATTCACTATCTTCGGACATTGGGTAATTTGAATCCAATGTTAAACAAACTGTAATACTTGGCTGTGTGTTCTAGAGTACAAAACACTTGAACTGACATCAGTGACTTAGATATTTAAATACACAAACTTTCTCATTCCAAGGGCACTGATATATTATCTTCCTAGATAATCATTTAGCCAGTTGTTGATAATATCTTTATTTCTTTGGACCCAGTGGATGTTTAGACGAATTGTTTCCAAACTCTGCTTCAGTGCTCTGTTTCCAGACCCAACATTCATAGGTCGGAAGAACTGTGACACCTGTACATTCAGAACATACATGTGATTTATTTTAAGAACCAACTACTTATTAACTTTGGTTTGGTGAATTTACAGATTCAGAAAGGTTAACTCATTGGTTTTAATAGTGTTATTAGTAGATATACAGAATGTTCTATTTAAAAAGGGGTCTGCAGTGGCCGCACGGTCTGAGGCGTGGGCTTGTGCCGCTTGGTCGCTGGGACCGTTGGTTCGAATCCCACTCAAGCCATGGATGTTTGTCGACGTTTTTCTGTGTTGTGCAGTCCTGTGTACAGGTAGAGGAATTGTGACAGGCCGATCCCTCGTCCAAGGAGTCCTACCGAATGTCTATAGATCGAGGGAATGAAAAAGTTGGGACCCGCAGTGCTGAGGCACTTGAAGAGCGGGTCATTCCCAGTATCTATTTGAAATGGTGCTACACACAAACCCCTTTATGCATAGAACAATGAAACCAAACACACTACTGAATCCTTGCAGTCATTTACCCAATGTTGCAGCTGATGCACTGATAACACACAAATGCTTCCTGTGTCCTGAATTATATTGCCAGCCAGTGTATTGTCTTATATGCTACTTCCTTGTCAGGATACACACAGCTAAATTCTTCATGAACAGCAACAAATGATTTAAATGCAAAGTAATATTCAAAAATTAACATGTTCTGCTCATGAATATGTCTGCACAGCTATCACACAACTGGATATGAACAGTGGCCTAGGAACCAGGGTGACCTTGACATGAGTGTCATGGGGGACATTGGGAGAGTCTACTTCATGGGGCTGGATGTGCTTCTGATTTCATTTCTGTATGCTAGCATGTTATTGTCACTGAGATGCATTTTAAATGGTACACTCTGTATTAAAAGCATGGCACATACATTTTTTAAGTCAGGTTCAAATTTATCAGTTGTTATGAAACCAAAATATTCATGCATGTGACACATTGATATTTTCCATATTAGTAAATATTAGCATAAAGTTTCATAGGTATTGTTGATTATATGGATTTGAAAAGTACCTGGATAGGGAGAGCAATGAGTAGAACAGGTCAATTACTTTGCTTCACAGGAGATACGTACACATCACAGACACAACTGCCACCTACTCATCACATTTCAACCTTAAGCATTCCTTCAGCCAATGGCAGTTTGTCAAGATCTTAATCGCTTCATCCAACACAAGAGTCTACGTGCATTAACATAATGCAACATACTACAATATTATATGTACCATGTGTAACCTGCCAGGCACAGAAGAACAGAAGAGGAGCAGGTAGGAGATTAGAAGAGTGACAGAGTTACAATTATGGAGTAAAATAAAATTTGTACCTCTTGATAGTCATATTCCGTAGTGAAATGAGATGTCACTGCTGAAATAAAAGTACCCATTGTATATGTTGAGTTGCCAAACATGGACTGCAAGTAGTTCCAGTGAGCTTTCAGATGTCTCCAAGCCAGCAGCTGGCCCTCTGGATTAACTGCCACTCCAGCTAGAACAACCTTTACATCTTGAGGTTTGACCAAGTTCCGATCCAGGGTAGTCAGCAGATACCTGTGAGCAAGAGAAAGTTCTATCTGCCATTAGCAGAACCATATCACAGATTATATGGACTCTGCATCCCAAAACAAAACTGATTAGAATTCTTTTATCTTGGCCTACTCAATTTATTTTTCTAAGCCTGTCTTCTTTCATTGCATTAGAATGCCACAATTATGTTGTATGTTATTTCTGATATATCCACAACTATATTTATTGCTTAATGTAATTCTCATGACTCATTTAATCAAACTACATCTTATTCATTTTATCTCAGTACTTCGTAAGTATTATAATTTCTTTATCAACTCTACTTCAAGGATCTTGATACCTTAGTTAAAAACAGCCAGTTGAGGATCAGGTTACCTAAGTAACTCACTGGCAATACATCTGTGTGCAGATTCAACATTCTGAAGTGTACCTTAATTTAGTAAATCTATGACCAAAAATGATTCAGCAGAACAGACTAATTATCAGACAATGAATTTCATATAGACCCATGATAAATTCGATATCCAAATCCACTTCCAAATATTCTCAAAAATGTTTGGCACAGTATTCAATTTCTAAGAAATTAAGGAATTTCCAGTTGGCAAGTGAAATTTGATTCCTGTAATTCAAATAATTTGAATTTTTAATGGTCCTGCTAAGACAGTGAGTATCAGAGGACTCCTGGAGCTCTTCTAGAAAGGTCAAGGATTATCATTGGATGGTTCAGTCCTGGATACTGAAAGGGGAACCTAGAGAATTCTAACCAGTAAAATATTGGTATTCATGGGTAAAGATGTTCAGAAAATCACCCTTATGAACAAGCTGTTCTCCTCATAGTAACAAAAAAGGTTTTAAAATATAATAGTACAAACTGTATTATGCCTTACAGTGAAATTCCATTTTAAATATCCATGCCAAGAAGCCAAATAAGTACTTTTCTATAAAAATTAAACTTGATAATGACCAGCATTATCAATGTCACAAAAACCATATCATGCCACATCACTCAAAATGTAAACCTTTCAGAGTACATTACAATCTAAAATAAGAAGGAAGAAAGAAAGAAAAGGAAATACTACACAAAGAAAAGAGAAGAAATGAAAAGAAAAAACCACTATAAGCAGACATTTTTTAAGTAACAATAAAACTTTGGTATTTAGATACATGGAGGGGAAAGGGGAGTCTGATGAACACATTAATAAGTAAAAATTTCACAATTTGATTTCAACCAAATTCTTATTTATAAAGGATTTTACAAATGTTAGGTTACAAGAGAAGGAAAGATACAGATATTACTATAAATTAAAGGCTTCCTGCTGGTAGCTCAGAACATCATATTAGAACCTATTTACACAGAACAGAAAATAATAACTTAAAAATATATTAGGTGGGACTTCAGGATCCCATGGTGATAAGTATGAAGATCAGTCTTCTGGGATGTTGCACCATGTGGTCTACCAGGCTACATGGCACATCATCTTAAAAATATATTACTAACAATTAAGGACTAATGGACATTTCATATGTGAAATTCAATATGGCACCTTTCAATTTTATAAAAATTAATTTTTGTCCACAATATACAGTATTAGGCATCCTTCGTCACATCAGAGTACTGGCACCTTTTGGCATGCGTGAAACACATTGTGTAAATTAATATTACTTTCAGAAATAAAGGAGGAGGCTAGGGCTCGATTTTGGGGCTGTTACGCCATAGTAGTAGTAGTAGTAGTAGTAGTAGTAGTAGTAGTAGTAGTAGTAGTAGTAGTAGTAGTAGTAGTAGTAGTAGTAGTAGTAGTAGTAGTAGTAGTAGTAGTTCAGAAATAAAGATAAAACTGTGTATTGAACTGAAGCACAAAATTAATTTAATAACCACAATAATGTCTCACCTTTGTAAAATCCATGGATCTGATGCCACGCCTAAGGCTTTAAGAAGCAATCTTCTTTCACTTGGAACTCCTGTGCTGTTATATTTAGACCAACAGTACTGCCAATCCTTCACATCACCATACTTGATACCTGTAACATGCACTTGAGCATCTGTATAACTGGGATACTGGGATCGACCCATTCTTCAAGTGCTTGAGCACTGCGGGTCCCAACTTTTCGTTGGCTCGATCTATAGACATTCGGTAGGACTCCTTGGACGAGGGATCGGCCCGTCGCAAGGCCTCTACCTGTACACAGGAAAGCACAACACAGAAAAACGCGGACAAACATCCATGGCTTGAGTGGGATTCGAACCCACGGGCCCATGCGACCAAGAGGCACGAGGCCCACGCCTCAGACCGCGCGGCCACTGCGGACCCCATCTGTATAACTACCCTGAATTATTCAAGATCAGCATATTTATAAAAATAATTGTAACCCAAATCATTTACTTCGTTTAGCCATGTAAGCATCCATACAAACTCCCGGGCATAGCTGTAATGCAAAAAATGAAACAATAGCAACAAAATAAACTGGAAGAGTACATATCTCACTTGTTACTCTTCTGTATTTATTTCATGCATAAACCCACAGCACATTCAAAAATACTGTCAGCACTACTGATGACACAATCATCATCATTATAATATACCTGATAAAATTTATATCTCTTACCTGCAATATAAACTACTTCTCTGAGATTTGGTGGTATACGATTGCCTTTATCCATCCAATCTCTAAATTTCTTCTGAGCTTGTTTGACTGTAATTTGGACATCACACAGGACTGCAGATGCCATTATGTCAGACCTCATCAGCCTTAAACAAATCAAAATTAGTGTAACTGTGAAGAAAAGTATCATGTGCAGACTGTTTCACACAGACTTGTTGAACAGCTTGTGGCACTCACTATAGATTAAAGAGAATTTTGAAGGTGAGTCACAAGGATATGCGGAAAATAAAATTTTTGGTTGTTATCAGAATAAGAAATATGGAACTAGTCTGTATAACACAAACTGGAACATTTACATAGCTGGTATTAAAATGTGAAAGCTCAATGTAGCTACCACAAGGTACCACTAAATTTACAAAGAGGTAAGTTCTGAACAGTTAAAAACACAAAATGAACACAATAATTTTAATATGTTAGAAAGTGTGCAATTCTGTTTCTTCATATTATCATCAAGTGTTTGAAGTATTTTCTGTAAAATATCCCCTACTTCTGCAAATGTGTTCCTGTGTCCTCCCAGCCTACGTGCTTGGAGGCAGGTTCCAGTAACCTCCTCATATATTCCAAGAACTTTTTGTATGCTGCTGACTCGGAGAGAAGCTTGCTCCAAGACTGAAAGTGCTCTAGAGCTGTTGCCCATGGAACATACTCCCGCTCATGTAGAAGATACAGAGACAGACTCAGAGGAACAGAGGCATTCAGCACACCAGCCCTAAAAAATAAAACAAACATCATACATAACAACGGTTTTCTTGTGTTTATGCTTTACTCCTGATAAAAGATTATAAAATATGTTGGCAGGCTATGTCATAGCTAAGGTGGCTAGACTGGCTTCTCACTGGAGACCCAAATTCAATCTCAGGTATCAAGATTCATGGTGGATGAAGACACAATGAAGCAGGCTTCTCTTATAGTTCTTTGGTTTTTACATGATAATCATCATTCCACCATTGCTCCATATTCATCTACTGCCACCCCATGAGGTATATAATACCCCTGACAAAGCAGCACATCATCATACCTTTTGTCCTAAGAGGATTCCTCTCTGACCCAACTATTTTCTAGAATTAAATGCAAGTTATGTTAATGAATTCATCTTTCAGACCTGTGCAGGCGTATAAAATATATTTGTTGCTTTTACTATCAAAACTTGTGTTAGATAAGCCCCAAAACACATTAATGACTAAACAAATGTAATAATCTTTTTAACTTCAACATTAAGCAAATCAGAAATGAAAAGAGGCCACCTGTGAGATGTACGCATAGAAGGGAGAATAATGTTCATTTACCTTAGAGAAATAAGGCCCAAGGGTGTCAATCAATTTAAATGGTGGGATTTTGTGAGTGTAGCAATAAACCTTCATGTTCTACTAAAATGGAGTGGTCCGCATTGTGCTTGAATGATTACAAACCTGCAGAGTGTAAAAGCATCATCTATGAGACTTGCTCTGTCTGCTGGACTAAATACTGTATGATTATGTTGTAAAGCTGATATTATGGACTGCCACATGTCATCGCTGTATGTTACCCGATAAAATCCTGATTGGTTCACATTCATTTTGATCCATATGGTATCAGCAGGTATATCAAATTTCACTGCAAGAAAAATATACAAAATTGATTTGTCATAGCTGGATCAAGGACAGTCAGAGGAAGAACTCAGTAAGTTAAAGAGTAAACAAGAATAATGGGCAAATGCTACCTTGGGATATGACTAAAAAGGTGTATTTTGTTTATGCACAACTGTCTAGATACATGAAACACATTTTTAATCAATATTGCAACAGCTGGGTAGCAGAAGATAGTCAATAGTTTGATAAAATTATATTAATATTATATTTGTATTTTACTTGAAAACACTGACTTTTATGTAAATAATGCATAATATATAATCCAAGTATCACAAGGATATTTACAATATTTCAAAGACTTTTCTGTCTTATTTAAATACTTAGTGAGATATGACCAAAGATTTACTTATACCCCTAAGCAAAGACCAATAGGAAAAACATAAAATACAATGTTCATTAAGATCTATAAATTTTATCTGAAACTATTTTTCTTAAATTAAATTCAAGAAAAAATCCTATATGGACTTATCTACAGCTAGTTCTAAGAAACCGAGTATGAACCAAAATAAAATTTGCTTGCCTATATGGAGTGAAAATTTCCACATGACATTTTATACATTCATCGAGTGTATTAAAAATTAAACAGGTAAACACACACACACACACATACATATATACATATATATATCATCAACATGGCAATTATTTTCCAACACATACAGTACATAACATATAATGTAATATATTTATAAGTGACAGTGTATTTTTCTGTATCTTATGCACAAATACTACTACGTCACTAAAGTTTAGTTACAATATATATTTTGTCAATGTTGGACTTCTGGTTGCAACACTACACGAGTTTGCAGACAGATCCCAAAAGTTTTGGAGGAATATACTGCCTCCACCTTCAAGGTTAAAGATGGTGGCAGTATGTTTTTCCAGAACCTTGTTATCTACCTACAAGCGCATACTGTATGGCAACCCAGAAGAGCAACATCAACGTCACCACTGTGAAAACCTAAAATGTCGGTATATAGTTCCTTCAGAGAACCAGAGCTAGGGTGGAATCCAAAATGTTAGAGAGAAAGAGAAATGAATACAGTTTACTTATAACCTTACCATCACTCATATTCATCCAGATGTGATGCACTTTTCCTATATGCTGATCAGTGAAGTAACTCAATGGAACATACCACTTATAACCAAATGGAGAAACGGATTCATTATTCATTTCTTCTGCTTCATTGTTTAAGTTAACTGTCAAAATAAATCTCTTTTGTTTTGCAGTAATTGTATTTCCTTCTCTTGATATTGTTACCAGAGGAAAACCCATTTGTCTTGTCCAAGTGTCCATTATAGTCTGAAAAAAAGCATCATCTTTAGAAACCAGGACCTGTAAAGTCTCTGTCAAAGTTAGAGAAGTACTAAGTGGGCTGCCAAAGGCAAATTACTTGGCATGTAAGTGACCATTACAAGCAGCTACCAACAGTCATGGTGGAAGTCTTGGGCACACCATGCTGAAATCATTTATCTTAAGTTTCAGTTCTGGATAGCAGTTAGCAGTTCAAAGCATGCAGTCAAGCCCATAATGTAAGTTATGTGAACATCCTGTTCGTGTCTTCATTATTTTGTTTTATTAATGACGACATTTTTATTCAAGTGGTTCACTTCCTGAGGTCAAATGCCTTTTGAATGACTAGGAAAATAACTATCAATACCAGAATTATGATGACACCCACATACTAAGTTGATTGCCCAACCTTGTACATTTGAATACAAAATGTATGATGAATATGGCCAACTGTACCTTAACATCAAGTGACTGATTTGCATGTTTGCTCAGAACATTCCAGAGGTCCTTGGTTTCTGCATTGCCATATTTATGTATATTAAGGTAATCATTGAGGCCACTGCGTAACGTTTCTTGATGAAGGAATTTTTCCAGCATATAGAGGATTGAGGCACCCTGCAAAGTACAAATACCTGTGCTCACCACGTTCTGTATAATTCCACACAAAATACAAAATATTAATAACTTCAATTTAGCAGGATAAGCTCTGTGAGCTTTACAGTTATAATTTGTACTCTTTACCAACTGTCATAAGACAATGTCCTACGTAAGCGATAACAAGCGAGCTATGCAAGCTGCATAAGCAGCATGGGGTGTCATATGAAGCGGGGAATCGCTTGTTGTGTCCTACGTGAGAGACCACATTAGAAGCACACGGCCTTCCTGCGCATGCACCTTCCGTGTACTGCACGGTCAGAGCTTTCTTGCGCATGCGCCTTACTGACCAGCGCAGCGACTCGCGCGAAAATATCAAAATATTTGATCTCGGACTTTGCCTGCTTCCTTCTCCTGACCGCTTCACTGGAACCTAGGACAGTGCCACACAAATAGCCAGTTTGATATTTCCGCTTCACCCATGCAACTCGCACCGCTCGCATTTAATCGCTCACGTAGGACACCGGGTAAGAGTGATCAAATCAAGAAAAATGAGATGGGCATGTTAAAGTTCTATGATTTCCTGCAATGACATAAAATTAGGCACATGGAATAGCAGTAGTATCTTTAAGAATTAAACACAGGGGATTTAGGATTATACAGCAATCAGATATTTACCCATTTATCTCTCACCAAATATTAATTTACTCTCTTAAACAGTTACTACTACTCAAGTCTGAAGTGATGGTGAGAAACAATGTGCAATTTTTTTAACTTTATCCATCATCTAAACGTTTAAAAAAACATATGTTTTTGAAGTTGGTTCTACTTCCACCTTCAGAAGACAGGACAAAGCTTTTGGGCCCCTTAGTTCAGCTAGTCTCAAACCTGGTTCAAAGTACTGAGAATGCAAAGAGATTTTAAATGCATCAAAACATATAAAGGACAATGTTCAACAGAAAATCACATTTCTTTCATTAAAACAGCATGCTTTAACATAAGCAATTAACAATTACCTTGTTATATGAAATTATGTCAAAAATAGATTCAATCTCTACAGGATCATGAACTGCTACTGAAATGGGATGACTGCTTGCCAGGGCATCTAGATTTAGTGCTGGATGAGTTTTGTCCAGAATAAACTGGTCCATCATCTTCCAGCTAGGCATGATATGGTCCACTCCAAGGTACTCCAAGTAGCTTGCAAAGCCTTCATTCAGCCATAAGTCATTCCACCACTTCATAGTTACCAGGTTCCCAAACCACTGCCAAAATAAATTTCATCTTATGACATATCACTAACCAACTAGTATCTGTCCTCAAACTATAGTATTCTTGATCTTTGGTTTTCGTCATCAGTGTAAGATATCACATATTGGCTTACAAACTTGAACCATATTTTGAGATTCCAGGCAAGTAAGCAATACATAACCATAAACCAACAGCACGCAATCCTAAAACACTTATTATAAATAAGACTTTGAAACAATGAAGTTTTCACTCAGATTTATATAAGCACTTTAAAGGAATATGATGCCACCATCTTCACTTACCCTGAATATGGATGCAGCAGGTTCCTAAAAAACAAAGATATAAACACGAAGACTACACAGCACAAAAATCTATACAGCTACAATCAAAGAACCTGAAGACATGTTCAAGTAACAAAAATTACTTGCTACAGTTTAATACCTGATGTGCCAACTCATGTGCTACAACAACAGCAACCCACTGGTGGCCTCCTGCTGATGTCTCATCCACATCGTACATAATAGAGGTTTCTCTGTATGTGATCAGTCCCCAGTTTTCCATTGCTCCAGCAGCAAAATCAGGAATAGCAATCAAATCTGTAAAAAAAAACACAATAATAAATGGTTTACTGAAATCTGTACCCATTTATTATCATTTCTGTCTAACTGGGTGGTAGACAAAGGAAGGAACACTTATCAGATGGGGGTTCAGAGTGACCACACAACCTATAAAAACAGCCTGGATTCAATGGAATTTAATGAGAGGAAATGATTTCTACAATTGTTTGTCACTTTATGAAGGAGTACACAAAATTTTATGATGAGGACTGGCAGAACAAGTATATTAGAATTAAAAATAACAAAACTGCGTTTAAAATTACTCCAATGTTATTATTTGTTATACATGTATAAATATGTCAGATCCATTACAAAATAACAAACAACAAATTTAATTTACCTTGCTTTGGTAGTGGGTAAGGGACTCCAAAGAACTCCTCATAATAATCCATGGCATCTGCAGCAGTTGACAGTGCAAAACTGGCCTGAGATATCATTTCATTAGGGGCATAGACTGATACAGAGACTTTCTTCTGAGTTTGTCTAGTGATTCGCTTGTAGTCACACACCACAAATGCCACTAGATATGTGCTCATCTCAACGGACTCTTGAAAATCATCACGCAACTGTAGCAATTAGAACAACAGGTTTCATTTTCAGTTGATCAAATATTTCAAATAACAATTTACTGCTCAAACAAATTAGTATTTAGGTAAAATTTCAATTAATTCAGTAAGTTTTTTGGATACCCAAATTTGTTCCTCCTAAACTATAACCACAATTGCAGTCCATAAATTTTACAACTGCCAATGGAAAACAAACAACTGGAACCTGGGGCATTCTGAAATCACTCCTAATGCAGTTTTACACAATAAAAAACCCCATGTGGAATGGCCAGGGTTTGAATTTTGATCTGTTTGGTGAGTCGAGATGAGGAAAATTTCAAATCTGTGTGATAGACCTCTCCTTCCTGTAGTCTCAACATTATTTCAATACATTTGTCTTGTGTAATTTATCACTGTAGGTTCCACACTTATGCTTCAAGGCTTATATACGCAATTGTGGGTTTTGGTGTATAGATGACTGGAAAATAAGTATGTAAAGTCTAGTACATGGATGACCTGAGAAAAACTGCCAGAAAAGAGGTATGTTTTAGGGTAACACCTGAGACTGATATTATAAAGTCTCATCCTAGACTACTTCCAATGGTCTGCCTTTCAAAATTTCACAATTGTTCAGATTCATTAGAGCTTTTCACATTCTGACTCACACACAAGTTACTACAGTCAATGAAACTAACACACTTAAGTGGAATATTAATACACTCTCACTCCATTGAAGCTAACATTCCATTATGATTTCAACAAGCTAACCAGACCAGTCCCCATGTAGAAACCAGCATCTTCCGTGTTGACGACAGGCATGTTGAAGAGAGCAATGTGGAACCTATCTCTGAATATTGACATCTTGAACCGTGCTTTGAACTGTGGCTCATCAAAGCAAGGAAAAGCTGATCTGGCATAAGTTGGTTCAAAATGTGTAGTTGCTAAATATCTGCAATGCAGTAACAAATGAAAAGTATTTAAGACAGTAACTTTGTACGTATTGTCCACTTTTTTACACAATGTCACAGTGCTCTGTTCTGCAACACAGCCTTCTTTACAGCTGGAATATATTTTAATAACAAAATCAAGACAGTGCCATCTTTCAATTACTTCATACTACAAACATTTTGATCTCCAGCATGTTCACCATTTATTACTATACTTGCAGATTAAAATTCATAAAACATCATAATTATAAAATAAAATGTCAGTTTTAAAAAAATATTGTTACAATAAAATTAATTTGTATTTCAGAAGCAATGAAATAAAGTACATCAATGAATTATAATGCATTTATTAGCATAATATCTGCAACTTGTAAAGAAAACCTCAAATCTTACATATTTAATTGAGTTTCTTACTATGTTCATTATATAATTGCACAAAATATAATGCAAACACCTATACTAAAACTACAAAATTATAGCATGTGAGTAATGGCCTTTTGTAACAAAGGCTGGCTGAGACGAGTGGACTAACATCTCTCCTTCTTAATGCCTGGCCACACGACCGTACAAAGTATGTCCATTGCAACGGACATACTTTTGTACGGACATAGGTGAGGACACCACACGAGCGCAGTGTGATGCGTCAGTTGCCCCAATGGAGCCGGAAGAATCCGCTGCGTTCTGTGGTCTTGCCCCTTCATAATTCTATGACGGACGTCACGCTGTGCGTTACAATAGACATACTTTGTACGGTCATGTGGCCCCAGCCTTACCATTCAACTAACACAGTCACCACCAATTTGGTACAATGGAGGGTTCTTGCAGTAACAAATATGGACAAGACTGTCTTCTGGGATGTTGTGTCATGCAGCCTCTTAGATGTTTGCAGATGATTCAGCAGTTCTTGCTGCCTTCATCATCTCCTGATAACAGAGGTAACAAACACCTCTGAAATGCCAATAAACTACCAGATAACATGGCACAACATCACAGAAGTCAGTTATCATCACCCACCATCTTGTTTGTATCCTAGAATAGTGGTATAAAGGATGTAGAAACACAAAACAGTTCCTGATTAGCAGAAAGAGAATATTCTTCCAATTCATACAAAAGGTGACCAAACATTATACCACTGCAAAATGGGCTTATTGTATTCAGCTTAACAAATATCCTTACTTGGTTTTGCCATCTTCAGCATGATAACTGCTAATATAAAAGCCTTCCAGCTCACGAGAGAGCCGAAACTGGAAACGAAGATTCAAGACGTAATGACCTCTCCTTTTGAACTTTTCCTTCACTTGCAGATACATCTGCTGAGCAGCTGAATATTCTAACAACCTTGTTATATTTAATAGCTGACCTTTTCCATTCTGGACATTCTGAAGCCAAGAAAAACATCAAACACTATTGGTCTCTTTTAAAAAATAAGATATCTCTCACACAGATAACTAAATTTGACATTGAATGTAATTTTGAAAGAGTAGATTAAAAATAAAACCATAATTTATTTTCCCAGGTGTAAGAGAAGTTGGAACATGGAAACTAACCATTCATCTCTTTCTACTTACAAGACTAAAAATGTGTGTGTGCACATCTTGAGGATATAATGCTGGGACAAATTACCATTATCTATTATATTCATCATGAAGAAGTACAAGTAACTAAAAACTAGTGAATCTATTAAATACTAAGTAAGTACCATAACAAAAAAACTCCACTAACATTTGGAATAACTTTTTTATAGTGACCATGTACTTGAGTCTCTTTATCATAAACCCACATTATATCTGATACAATACTCATGAACAATTTGTTTAATTTATACATACACACCTTAGACAATCACAAGGTAAAAGACAGTTAAGCCTTTGTGTCCTACTTTAAGATGCACCACATGGGTTTGGTACCGCATATTTTAGCCCATTCGACCCTCTGCCACGTCACTTACATTCATTATAACCAAACGCTCTCACGTCAATCAATTTAAATGTCCCAGATACACAACTACACTTAGTACGTTAAGTTTCGTATACAGCATTTAATTTTACTAAATTCTACTGAGTTAAGAATTGTAAAATAATTTAATAGCCATAAAAGAATAAAGATAGTCCAGTAGATGGTTGCCAGTGTTTCAGAGGTCCCTGCTACCTCTAACAGCAGGGCAATAAACCTGATGATGGAAGCAGCAAGGACCTCTGAAACATTGGCAACCATCTACTGGACTAGATGGTGCTACAACCCAGAAGACAGTCATGTTCTTAAGATTTCATCACTAAAGTTACTCTTAATTATACTCATTTCATCAATGAGCACTAAACTTGAGGAAAGCTAAACAATGAATCAGTACATAAACAAACATTCTATTTTATATACTAGATGGTAATACAAGAATACAATTCTCACCTTTTCAGTTATTGTCAGATTTTTACTATGGAAGACAATAAAATTGGTGTCTTTTTCTACATGAAATTCTATTGTCACCTGACCTGAAATACAAATCAATTTTTAACATAATTAGAGATACTAAATTTATAAGAAAATCCATGGTCTGTATTTAAAGACATGAAAGAAAGAAATTTAATAACTTTACCCAATACCTGCACTTCAGTACACTTCCTCAGGTTATATTTAAATAATATCTTGGGACATGTACTTAGCGCTTAGCACTTAAGCGACCTGTTCTTCAGCTCACGCGCGGGCCCCAGCATCTCCTCCAGTCCTCTCTGTCACGTGCTAGGGTTGTCCAATGAATAGTAGTATAGCCACGTGTATCCCTGATGTGCTCAGCGGCAAGAGTCTGCCCAATGAGCAGGGGGCCGACCCATTGGGACATGTAAGCTAAGTTAACCTGACTTGACATAATTTAATCTAATAAAACCTAAGCAATGAGTATGGAGCACTGCAGGAATAAAAGATGTTCTGGAAATGGTGTCATACAGCACCCAAACAAGTACTATAATTTAATGAAAATTTTAACATATTTATTGTAAAAATATTTATTCTTTTCTGATATCCATGCTATGTTGGCACTTTATATGTATCTACCTACTCATGAAGAAATTTCATCTCTACTGTGTGTACAATTGTCTCAGAAGGGACCAACAGGAATGTAGATGATGAGACTGTAATTATGTGGCATAAAATGACAGATGTATATAAATTGCATGTCAGATGGGTTCAAAGGGATGGGAAGAAAGCCAGAATGACCTCTTTGAAGTTACTAACTTGGGATTCACATGGAAGGACTAACATAACTGTAACAGAGTAGTCTGTTGATAACACTATAACAAATCAATTACCTTTGACCTCCAAAGTTGTAAGATTTGGGTGAATTGTAATGTTGTATCGAGTAGGTCGAACAAAACTGGGAAGGCGAACATTGTTCCATGGAAACACCTCGCCATTTGTTGCAAGTGGTACTGGTGGTCCTGTAGAGTTTGACAACACCTCTTCTCCCAAGTCATCTGGTTTCTCTCCTGCACAAGGGCACTCTGCAAGATTTGAATTCATCCCATAATTAGACAATATTACTAGCTATACTTTAACAAATGAATTTCCATAAGGACGTTAACAACTAAAATTGTTTAAAATAGTTACCATTTTGGGGTCCTGCATATGCAATGATGAGCGATATGACAAACAGTGTAGCAAACACGGTCGTTGCAATGCACATTGCTCTCTTCTGAGAACATACAGCAACTCCATTGTGCTCATACAAGCTTCGTTTATTGATTCCAGTTTGACTATCACCTGCAATAACATCAATCTTAATTAGGTCACTTGGCCATAAAAATATACTCAAATTGGCCTTCTCTTTCAAACCGTGTCTTCCGCGATTTCCGTCCTACATGTAGCTACAACTTGCAGATAAGATTCTTCTTTGGCCTACCTGTCAAGAAAGCAACATCATCCACGTCTTGATCACTCATTACTATATCTCGTCTTCTCCAGACAACAGCTTCAATATCTCGTGCGCTGGATACTACCGAGATTTTAATAAGAGGATCTCTTTTCACACTAGCCACTCTATTAACTTCAATACAGAAAAAGAAAGTGTACTGATAAAAATGCCTTCAGAAAAACCGGATTTATGGAAGACGTGAAATATGTATCGCACCGTACATAATTTGTCACCCGTATGCTAATGGACGTATTCACTTGCCTTGTTTTACAATAAGTTGGCACTATCACACTTCTATGCTGTCTGGTGAATTACAGATGCTGGAAAAAGTTTTTCTTAGCAGTATAGCTTAACTACAACCACACCAATGTTCGTTTGACATTTCATTGACAAATTGAAGATTCTGGTGCCCTCTAAAAAGCACAGAACGAAGCTCAAGGAAGACGAGCGCCATGCGCATGTGTTACATTCCAAATATGGCGAATATACTTCCGGTGTAGGGTACAATACCGGAAGGTATGAAGGAAGTAGCAGAGCTATTTGATCTATATTTTTTTCGAGATCAATCATAACAAATGCAGCACTGCTCTCACTCAGTCCCATGTGTTTCTCTTGCCGACGCAGTCCAATTTCTCCTCCTTTCAAATTCAGAACAGTCTTGGACAAACGTTGCGACCCAGTGGTGATGGAATCATATTCGTAAAACCCCAAGATTAAATCTGAACCCAGAAACCGTCGGTTCGATCAAACGACCGTCCATGTACTAACTGTGGTGGACAAAGTGGCACTGAAATAGCCCCCCCCCCCC